TGCACAAGGGTATTATAACTTTGTTCACATAACGGTTGTTTGTAACATGCAAAACAAATCGAGATAGATATAGACAAATGTATACATAAATGATCAGAATGAAAAGAGAAATCGATTAAGCGGTGACTGTCCGTCCGTCCGTACGTCCGTCCGTCTGTGCACACGATAACTAGAGTAAAAATTGAGATATCTTAACGAAACTTGGTACGTGAACTTCTTTTGGGCGTAGGACGGATGGTATTGAAAATGGGCGAAATCGGACAATAACCACGCCTACCTCCCATATAACGGTAATTTTAAGAAATACGAAAACTGCGATATTTTAGTAACTACTGAAGATTATTCACTCAAAATTGATACTTGTAATGAGTTTCAGACGGAAAACATGAATTTTATAAAGTTTTGGAAAATGGGCGTAGCCACGCCCACTTATGGTAACATGTGTATATCTTGGTAACCGCTACACCAATTTCTTCCAAACTTGGCACAGTTGTTGGCCTTAGTACAGCATACTAAATGGCTGAAAATTTCTAAAATCGGACAATAACCACGCCTACCTCCCATATAACGGTAATTTTCAGAAAAACGAAAACTGCGATATTTTAGTAACTACTGAAGATAATTCACTCAAAATTGATACTTGCAATGAGTTTTAGACGAAAAATAAGAATATTACAAAATTTTTGGAAAATGGGCGTAGCCACGCCCACTTATGGTAACATGTGTATATCTTGGTAACCGCTACACCAATTTCTTCCAAACTTGGCACAGTTGTTGATCCTGGTACAGCATACCAAATGGCCGAAAATTTCTAAAATCGGACAATAACCACGCCCACATCCCATATAACGGTAATTTCGAGAAATACAAAATCTTCGATAAATCAGTAGATATTGAAGCTAATTTATTCAAAATTGATGGTTGCAACAATTCTTTACCAAGAAATACGTTTATGACAAAATTTTGGAAAATGGGCGTGGCACCGCCCACTTATGATCACGTATATGTATCTCGCTAACCGTTCTAGCAATTTGTACCAAGCTCGGTA